ATCAAAATATGTCAGATTAAAATATAAAATAACTCAAAAAGTACTTAATGAAAAAATACTTTATTATAGTGTTTTGGAAAGCTCTCGACATAAGCTATAAGAATATGCAATAAAAATGGGGGGTTCCATTTAAGAAAATATCGATCACATTGACTTGGCCTTGAAAAGGTCACTCAAGGTCAAGTCCATATTTTCATCATGTGTCCCCCTCTGAACCCTACAACTTTTGTATAAAACATTTTTTTCCATCTTGCTTACTTTACGAGATATTTGCGTGCGTTGATTAAAATGACTCACCCTGTATATATATATATATTGACTATTTAAATAAATTTTGCTATTCTAAAACATGCTGAAATTATATGCAAAATATATATTAAATGTATTCTTAAAAGCACAAGAAGAAACCATGCATGAAATGTTAAAAATTATAAAGAATACAGTCTAAACCATCTGATACGAAAGACTTTAGAATGGATTTGCTCTTTTGTTTGTTTAACTTCAATCGTTTCTATAATTGTATAATCATTTAACTGTTTAATCGTTTTGTCCTTTTCTAGAGTCTCTGGCCCATTAGATTGCCATTTTTAATTGTTCCATTCTTTGTTTTTCCGCTTTTATCTCTGTTAGCGAGAGAAGTGGACGCGTGAGCGAGGAGTGCTGCGATAACAATAACTTCGATAAGTAAGGAGGACGATGGACGGTAGGAAAGACGAGCGACTTGACACTACGAAATTTAATCAAATAACAGGCTTTGTACACTTTTTACAAATTAATTACTAAAAATAAATCTTTGATTTCCGCAAGCAACGGATGATTTCGAACGATAAAACCGCACAGAAAACCAATGTTTCACGAGCAACGAAAGCGCGCTGGATTCATTGTCGCGATTGAACTTTGTCGAATAAATTAGCGCAAGAAGATCTACGTGTACGCGTCGATTATTTTTCGTCAAGTGCCGGCCGCGCCTTGTGCGCGCCCCTTTTATAGCCTTGAATCCTTCTAGAAGGATCCAGAACGTATGATAATCATGACTGGAAAAAATCGCGGTAGTTTTTTTATTGACGGGAGGCGGAAGCCCCTGATTGGGCGCCACTGATGTCAGTTTTAAACGCAGTGATAGGAGTGTAGTGGCGAAAGACTTGCGGCTCGCGATAAGCTAGAGCGAGAGCCATAACTTGTGACTGCATCGAGAGCGGTCATCTCTTTCATCTCGAATTCTTAGAAATTATCGATCGGCCACTCTACATCTCCTATCGCTTTAAAGTCGATCTCGAACCAATTACCTCTTCTCCCATCGCCTTTAATTCGATTTCAAACAATTTCCATTCTTTCTTTCTTTGTATTGTAAACAAATGTAAGATTTCCCATACAGCACACAAAGATTGCATACATATTGTAGCAATCTTTCACCGCAATATTGCAACTTTGCAAATTCACTGCAAAATGTTGCTGTATCATTGCTGTGGAATTGCAGCAATGATAAAATGTCCGCTTTTAGGAATATTGCATCAAAATATTGTAGCAATATTGCAATGTAATGAATTTGCAATGATGTATATATATTTATTTTTGGGTATATAAATGTGTAATTATTGACGATACATTGTAATTAAATGTCTTTATTTGTACTTATGTTAACGTTATAAATAACATAACATTGCACATAACATATTATTGCACTTAACATGTTCACGAAATAAAAATATATTTTTTTTTATATTAGAGATATATATAAAAATGGTTCAGCTTTACGCGGCGCTTTTATTACCATTAATAATTTATTGAATTTTGTCCATTATTGTTTTCCTTTGTTAAATGTCTGTAAAAATAAAATAGGAGTTAAAATTCAAATTTACATAAAAATATACATACTGATAATATACATAAATATTTTTATCAAATATTTTAAAGTTCATATCTACAGCAAAATAGAAAATTAGAGAAAGCAAAAAATATCCACATAAAAAATATACGAACATATATCATAGATAAATATAATTTTTACTTTTGCGATCTCAATAATTTTAAGGTTATTAACCTAGGTTATTAACCTTAGGACATGCTATTCTATTATGATTAATTAATACATAATATATATAGGTTGCTATAATAAAACATAATATTATCAAAAAGTTCTTACCTTTTCTCGTACGCAACAATAAAAAATGTTAATCACGAAATACACGACAATCACAGATATGTGCAGCAAGACCGGCGCCTACTACACACGCACACAATTGCGAACGCGTACATGTGCTGCGCAAAGCATACAGTGCAGCAATATAAGCCAATTTAAGAAAAATGTTTTAATAAAATGAACCATTTAGTATTGTTTATCGTTAACATCTTTCATGTAGAAATATTGCAAAAAATTATTTTATTATAATATTTTATTATTAAAATTATATAAAAATTGAATTTTGCAATATTTCCGAAATATTAATGTCATGTTGCTACAAGTGTGCTGGTACTTTGTGGCTCTATATTTCTGCAATGTCTTTGTAATGTTGCATTGCAATTTGCAACATTGCAATGTTGCTGCAATATAATTGCAATGATCTGTGCTGTATGGGTACTGTTTTAATATCTCATTATTGTGTTTGTAGTATTAAACATATATTTGTAAGCTTGCGAGATTTTGCTTTTTCTACATAGTGACCCAGACAGCACAAAATGTCCTCAGGTTCATCCTGAATATGTCCAGGATGGTTCAGGATATTTGTAGGATGTTTTAAGATATTATTATAAATATATTTTATGAAAATTTAATATGCATACATGATTACTTTCGGTTATGTAGGCTATTTAATATAATTTAGAAATTTTAAGTATTGTAATAAGTATTAATGTCCTATAAATGTCCATTGGATAACTCCTGGATGTCTGTAGGATATCTGCCCTGTCTATTATATTGAATGTCCTTTGGATTTCCAGAGGACATATACATGTGCAATTAATTGTTAACATTAATTTCGTTTAATATTAATAATTGAATTTGATGCGCACATTTTCATATATTCAAAATTATTATTTATTTAATATTTCATGAGAAATGTTACTATGCGCAACATTCCAAAAACTTTACAAAAAATAGTATTCAACCGCTAGTTCGTTTGTTTACCGCTATGCGACGCGCGAACTCGTATTTGAGATTTGGTCATGAGAATTATATAAAGCTTGCAAAGAGCAACTAACAGGAAATTAAAAATATAATTATTTTTTATCAGTTCAATTTCTGATGCAATCCCAACATAGGGAATTCAGATATTGGATTGTTTTGAAAATATTACATGACTCAAACCCGGAAGCCAAACCTAAACTATTCATGTACAGCACGAAAACCTCAAATATTAAAGAACGTGAACTATTTTTAGTATTAGATTTTTAGTATTGGTAGTAAATAACAGAACGCAATCTTAATTAATTTTAGAATTTTAGAATTTGTTCCTTTTAACGTATGAAAAATATCCCTAACATATCCTATAGAAATCCTTAAGATGTTCCGCAGGATCTTCTCCAGAGTCTCCCTGGATTCTCTAGAGGCTAGTGTACGGCTATCATTTATTCTTCCTCAGGACATCCAGAGGAGATCCGAGGATTAAAATAGGATATCCTCAGGATATCTTACATGTATGTCTTGGATGCCCTTTGGACGTCCTAAGGACATCCTTGTGCTGTCTGGGAATATATACTCGTATACAGAATGTCCGGAATCAATCGCACCACCCATCGTATGCAGATAGAACAGATGAAACGTCCTTTATCATTTTGCAATTTTCGTAACAATTTTTGAGAAATTAATTAAAAAAGATCGACTAATTCGCGTGAGTATAAGCGCGTAGCACTTATAAGTGTTCTAGACACTCGAGACTGTGATGTGAGCTGCGGAAACACGCGATGGTGGAGGAAGTCTAAAGCGGTAAGAGTGTGATCGATTATCGGTTGCTCCTCCGCTCCTAGCGGTTAGACTGACAGGCCTGTTCTAAAGCCCGTATCAGACTACGCATTGAAAATTGAAGATTGAAGATTAAAGATTGGAATTTGACTAATCAGAACAAAAGGAACTAAAATTTCTTTGTCCTGATTGGTCAAATTTCAATCT